TAAAGGGTGAGAAGACAAAAGCAAAGAAGCAGCACAGCCAGAAATGACAGCAAGAAAGTCACATTTCTTTAAACCAAAAACCTTTCAAACTCCAGATAAAGTTCTTCTTTTGGTTGGTCACTATAAGTCATTATAATGCAAGCCTCTTTTCAACATTTGTCTAGCCTGTTCTTGCTATTGAAAACGCGTGTGCTATAAGACAAGCTAACACTCTGCAGTATGCTGTTTGAGAGCGATTTTTTTATACATCTTATAAGAAAACTTAGTTGTGGACTATTAACTGTTCTATTAATTTTGATTAGAACCATATGTAAAAGAAATACACAGTTCAGGACAACAACATTAGGACCACCTAGCAGCAAGTAGCAACTAACTAATCTGGATGAGCAGGTTGCAGCTAGTGGTTAGAGGAAACCTCTGCAGATGCTTTTTTCAGTATGACTGCAGGATTGCATTTTCAAGCAACGCCAAACTGTAATTTCTACCATATATAGGAGTCCCGATCAAGTCATTTAAACACATACCTTAGCACAGTACCGGTGGACCATAAAAGCTGATATCCTTCCACATGCAAGCCAAATGTAGACATCATGCACCCTTAAAATGCTGTTTATTCAACAAAGACTGTTATTATAGAATGGATGAAAGGTGAAATGAAGGAAAATTAACCAGGGTTTTTCACGATGATCATGATATGCTAATCAACTTTTTCATTTGTAATAAACAGAAACTTCTTAAGCCATTCTTAGAATTTCTGCACTTGTAAGCATTCATGTACAATCTGTAAAATCTAACATTCTACCACATACACATTACTGTGGTCATAATCTTTATCAATAACAATAAGAAAGTAGCAAATACGCTCAAAAATTATTTGTTAAATTGACTAAAGTGAAATAATATTTAAACTAAATCGATAACCCAACAGCAATATTTTTAATTTGTGTGTTATCTTAGGTTAACTTTAGTACACATAATGACATAAATCCTTGGAACAGTTCTGTGTGGGCCGATTTAATTAAAAAAAATGATGATCAGTAACATCTCCAAACAAATATATGAGCAAAGATCAAATAGGCAAAACAGTGTAAAGACATGTAGAAGAAAAGCTCAGCAGCAGTCTAATCAGACCCCTCCAACACTCACGCAGTTGATCAATGAAAGACCTGGGGCCGCCAGCCTGCGCTATATTACACGCCAAACTTCATATTCATTCATTGATTTTACTTTTCATAATAGTATATCACTGAACTCCAATGGGAGCAAAATATGGAGGCCAGGGCTTAGGTCAACTCTCAAATGGACGCCTGGACGAATGTTTGCACAATATTGATGGGGCACGCAGAAAGAAATGACTAAATACCTGGATCAATAGCTAGTTTCCCTAGCTACGACAGGTTATTCTAGATGGAAATATATAAATACCTCTTTATGGCTACTGGAGAAGTCCTAACGAGCAATGCTAAATGCGCACCCTTAAGGTAAACACTTTGATTAGCCAAGGCCAGAGGTGACAAGAGGGGTCTGCTAATGCTAGGATGCCACACTTACAATGGCCTGAGGATGTTAACACACACAGGGCCCTGATAAAGAGACCGTGTATATGACAGGTCAAGCTCTGGGCAAAGAGCCCTGACCATCCTATTTATTTCTGATGTTTATGGACCCTGGCTTCACCATTCGCAGTCATATTCGACCAATGAATGCCATTAATAATTGAAATTTCTTTTTTCACACTAATCAGAACCAGAAGTGGGAAAGTCTTTGACCTAATGAAAGAAATTTGCACACAGACTTCTTAAAACAAAGTTAAGTACGCAGACATCTTTATAATCAAACCAGGCGAACATATCCTGCTGCTGCTGCAGCCCTGTTTTTATTTACTGCACAACCAAATTACTGAGAACAACACCCAACCTTACAGCTTTACCAGCTCCACAGTGTCCAATGGGGCCATAAAGAGGGTGGAGCCACATCACTGCCTGCTCCTTAATTAAACGAAAGCTGTTAGGTTCATTTGCCTCTTTTTTTACACACATTGAATTAACCAGTCCATCGTTGAAGACCTCCCAGACGCCATCCCTACTTGCCCCTAAATCATGATTGGGTGAACGGTCCAGTGGGTCCCTGCTGGACATGCAGCAGCCGCCCAACGGCAAGGCCAGCACAGGGCATGTGGCAGATCGACACCTAGCCAGCGATAAGTAATTCTGTAGGGGATTAGCGGCATGATAGCCTGATCAATACTGTGTGCTCAGGCCATTAGGAATGCAGCGAGGAAATGACCCCCTCTGGTAATAAAGCAGGCATCTGGGTTCTCCTTCATTTGCCAGCTCCATTAGTGTAATGGTATCATTATCTGCCACAGCCGTATTTTTCTGGGCCTTGGCTTTTCCACAGCTCGACCAGCGGGGGTCTGATGAAGCAGTGAGCGCCCCCATACTGAGTGTTCCCCTTTCTACCATTCTACACAGGACCTAGGTGTAAATCTAGCTCTGCTGGAGCTTATGTGCTACCCTGCCTTAGGTATCCATACCCATGTTTTATGTCAGTACCTAACACTATTTCTCCATTATTGGCTCATTAATAGAGCAAGCAGCATGTAGCTTGGGTTTAGAGGGAGAAAAAGATGGCCGGCAGAGCGCAAAGCTGCTGAATGCGCTGAATCTGACACCCCCCTCTTGCTAAAACACCAGGCTTGACATGACAGGACGTCGGCATTAGTTGCCATAAATCGTTTCCTTTACACTAATTCACCAGCTAACATTTTGTGGGGGAAAATTGATTAACCATGTCTGGATGTGTGGCCACATAATCAGCTTTTACTTCAGTAGATGTTAATTTAACAGAATCGCCAAGGGAAACACAAACCATTTTAATGGGTGTTTAGAAATTAAATACCCTAAACAGCTTGCACTAGGTGCCACAACCAGAACAAACCAATGAGGCTGATCTAAGCAATGGGCTGGTTTGAGCCCAGGACCTCACAACATCTGGTGACCCTGTGTGAACATTACTTAGCCTGCTGCTCACGCACACAGACACACTTCCTGTTTCACCACAGCACTTAATACTTGTCATCGCTGTCCAAATGGCAAGCTTGCATCAAAGACAACATTAGAACATCGGGTTAAGGGACAGGGTCGGTGCTGTTTTCACACTTGCCAGGGCATGAGTGGAAATTTATCCTGTGATGACAACACTGATAAAACATACTTAAAAGTTTTAAATTCATTAGCGCACTAGAGGTTAAACATTAGTATGACGAGAAAATCCATGAAAATGTAGCTACTTGACAACCTAAGACAAAGTCCAAATCTATAAAAACTTTTTTTTTCTGATACAAACAAAATGAAATCTGATGAGTGAGTGTGTTCACTAGACTGAATGATGAAAAACCTAAATAAATGACATAAATGTGAATTGGTGTGACTAGGTGGGGTTAATTCCCCTCGGCGACTGTTCAAATGTTCTCTTTCATTTAAAAAAGATATATAGAAAATAGCCATGGCACCCCACCTGTCTATGCTATACTGACTTGTTGTGATGGGATTTTCTGAGGAGACTGTGTATTCATTTGGCACTAATCTGTTGGGGCTTGCATTCCACAACTCGGAATAACAGTGCACCCATCACAGTGCATCTCTCACTTTGGGCGCCATTGCAGACACACTCACTTACTAGATAAGACAACCATCATATCCAAGGTATTAGTTAACATAATAACTGTGTCTTTATACAACCAGTGATATTGTGAAAACCGTTCAAAACGCACGCAGCTTTCGCTTTGGCCGCTGTACAGTTTTAAAGAAATTTTGCAGTTACTAATTCTCTCGCTCATCCTTTTATTTATCTAAGGAGAAAGACAGCTAAGCCATTAGGTCTGTGCAGTACTGCCTGACTGCCTGAGGGCCAACTAGAATGAGTTCTCTCTCTGAGCCGCTCATCTGGCTGCCATGGCTGCTCTCATAAACAGGAGGAACCACGTCCTACATAGTTTCACTGCTGTCTAACATGATCCAAACACATGCGCCACAGCAGACGGCGTCCAAGTCTGGAGATATGAGAAGAAACAGACAGGCAGATAGGCAGATGCTAAGAGAAATGACTGTGATGAAGCAGCCCTGGATGCCTAGTGCACAGCAGTTTCCTCTCTTGCATTAGAATGTCCCCAAACTGCAAAGTTGCAGCTTTTACAAAGCTTGACACATCAGCACACACAACACATAGGTACCCATCTCTGCTCACATCATGTGACCCTTATTTGAATCCTATTTTTTCAGTATCAGGTTCTACAGCTGGCACATTAGCACAGGTTGTTCTTTAACAACAGCAGTGGCAACATTAGCCAATAGGTTATCATTTCTACTGTATGTCAGAGCACAAACCATTATCCGCTGCATCTGTAGTAAAGCCTGAAGCAGCTGGAGACTGCTGGCCTGGCAGCATGCCAAATCCCGGCTACACTTCACACTAACTTTACCTTTTGTTTTTACTGTTACACTGAGCTGCACAGCTGCTGCTGCCATACAAGTGATTCATTGTTTATTCTTCACACCAGAATAACATCCCAACTTGAGCCTCGACTCTGTCTTTTGTTTGTTTTAATTTAAAAAAAAAGATATCTATGCATTAAACTAGTTGCAATGTGCACTATTTTTTCATAATTGTGTAGCCTGCTGTAATTCATATCGTATTTCAACTTGATGTAGGATGCTGTCGAGGCGTTACTCTGCAACCTCTATTTTCTCATCGGCAGTGTCTCTACGTGGCAAAACACCATTTTAACGTAACTGTAATTCTTCATTGTGGCAGACTGGTGGGGGAAAAAAATGGAAAACACAATAAAGGAAACAGGCAAGGTGAAGTATGCGCTGACATTCCCGGCTTTCTAGCCTTCAAAATGCAGCCAGCAGCATCACATACGGAGCATTAGATATTCAAAGAGCGACAGGGCTTAGAAATATGCCAGACCTAACGGAGAAAAACGCTATCAATACCTTTCTTCTCTTCTCCCCCTCACTGTCACCCGATCTTTTCATGTTCCTGGAGTTGTGTTTACACTGCCTCGCTTTCATTAGGGGCGACGTCGGTCGTTGTAGTGCACGAATAAACTGCATATCCCGCTATTTTCGTGTCAGGAAGAGCGTCTGCAAGTGCAGCCGCGTATTTCATTTCTACGAGACGCCAGTCTTTAATTTCTCCAGTTTAAAATGAGTTTCTGTGGAGAAATTGTTGGGGGAGATTTTAAAAGCGTAACATTTAGAACTACAATTCCCAGCTCGAGCGGGAGCTCGCGGCGGAAGCAGATTCGGCACGCTCAAGACTTTGCACTACGCAGGTGTGGCGCAGGTACAGATCTATATATTGCACATAGGCCGGTCAGCATGGCTTTTAAATCGGTGTTTTAAGCCCCTAAAATGGCTGTGGCATTTAGAGGAAAAATGTGAGAGACATAATTTAAAGCGAAAGCAAAAGTCACAGACCTATTCGGCAATTTTTAGTAGTAGTATTGTTTGCACTTGCGTCGAAATGTCGTTTTTAATGAACTTACCGAGTTTTTTCTATTATTGATATCATTATTTAAAAGTCTCAACAGAATCTTAAGGTTTTTATTAAGGCTATTATATGTACTTACCTCATTTTTGAAATCAAGCACAGTGCCACTTTCATCTTCGATACGTGTAAAAATAGCAATCATGCTTTGAACGGGCTCCACTTCAAGTCTAGCCAACTTTCTTTCAACTCTTGCATGCGTCTCAAATCCAGGTGCTTTCTTTCCTGCCGGTGTGGGCCTTTACCACGTCAGCCCTTTTCAACTCGCCAGCAATCATGAAAGTGCACCGTAAACGCACAGCGTCTGTGTGGCTGCCTTTGTATATCACCCACAGTTGCCTTTCAAGAGTTGAACCAGATTGCTCGTAACATAGTTTGAATAGTGCTGAAATATGTTCTGTCCATTGTTCCTATCAAAGCACACGTGAAATACATGAGAAAGTTTCACGGATGAAGTGGCTTTGGCGGCGGGAGGGCAGTGCAGGGGCGGATTGCAAAGGTCTGAAACACCTGCTACACATTACCATTACAGACTTTGATCAGTGTCTTCATTAGTTTCCTTTGTAATCTCTTTTCTTTTATGGTAGAGCTGACCCAAGTGAACCGGGTACGATGATTTAACACACATGTTTCTTTCACCTGTCTTGTAAAATACTCAAAAGCTCTCCCACTTTCAAAGATGCCACACTCTCTGGCATCCCTTACTAATAATCGGTGGGGGAGTTCTTTTGATTCCTATTTATAACCTACATTTCCTCTTCTATGGCCTGGTCCTGTAATGGGGAAAATGTCTGAAAAATATCCTTGGAACCATTTTGCGAAAACTAGATCCATGTGTATGCATGTATATGATTTTTTTAAACATATGTCAGACTAGAGTCTTTTTTTATAGCTACTTGCATGGAAAAAAAAAATCTTACGGCACTGTAAATAATTTCTTTTAGATCTTACAATGTCAAAACCTGCCTACATCCAACCTCCATCACCCCATTCCATCATTAAACTATGTCCCTTTTATGTGTCAAACTATCATTCACTAATTCCCACTGTCAGTCATCTTTATGGTTTACATTTTAAAAAAGTAAAGTTTTTCCGCTTGACATTTTTGGCTTACTTTGTCAGCTCTTTTGGCTCTTTGAATGAACATAATGTATAGGGCCATTAATGGCAGACAGACCCCCATGCCTTGCCCAATAATTCCCAGAGAAGCTTTTTTTGTTACTGTTGGCTTATTGGTGGGTTGGTGTCAAATTCATTGTGACTCAAGAATTATACTCCATGCGTATGGTGCACCCTATCGAGTTGTTTATTAAAGGTATATCATATGGTGAGATCCACTGTGTTGACACCTAGGGTCAGGAGTAGCTTGCTCTTAAAGTTCTGCCTGTCAGTGAGTGCGAAAATCACAAATAAACACCTTATGTCTTGTTTCTACCAATTTCTAAACACAATAGGCTGCAGTTTTGTAGTTGAGTGGGGGGGGCAAAGACTGTATATAAAAAACAGATATGACTTTTAGTCTCAAAACTGTGGAATTGTTCAAATTGACATCAAAAATCAGAATTTCCTACTTCCTGGAATGGCTCAACGTGTCTTGGAAAGGTAGACTCTCCCCACCAACCCTGACTTAACAATCCAAGATGGCATCAGTGCATGTAAACATTAGTAACACTCTGAAAGTTGCAATCTGTACTACTGTTGTTATGCATTTGTGACTTGCAATTTAAGTCCTTACCACACTTCTCAGAGTTCTTAATGAGGATATACAGAAGATCTTTGTTTTGCTACTTAAGTAATATCACAAAGATAGCACCAAGGTTAACAAAAACCAGCCCAAAGAAAAAAGTAATCTAAACTTTGCTATGTAAGATACTAGGAACCGATTCATCTCTGGGTTTCTGTAACATTAAATATCCAACTTTGTCCATTTGAGTGGGGGCAACATGTAGTCCCATTAAGCATTTTGGGGCTTTTACTACTAGCTTTATAGTAACATGCCTTTGCAAATGCTTAGCAATACTTGATACCATACTTACTCAACTTGCAACACATTCAAAGTAGTATGCATTTTTCCACTACTCAAAACGTACTCTGCTGTGCCATTTTTGTCTTTCCTTCTGGACACACTGATTTCAGGTGACTCCTGCACAAGTGAACATAAAATGCATTTGTGTGTTTGTTTTTTTCCATCCATCTGGGTCTGAATATTGAAGGCAGCAATCCAAGGAGAGATGCCCAGACCTCCCTCTTCCTAGCCACTGCATCCAGCTTTTACAGGGGGCTACTGAGGCATTTCCAAGCCAGCCAAATTACATAATCTCTCCAGGTGTTCTACGTTTGCCCTACATTGAACATGCACAGAACAACTCACCTAGGAGACGTCCAAAAGGCTTTCTTGTCAGATGCCCAAACAACCTCAACTGGTTCCTTTCCATGTAGAAGAGTGACTAAACTTATTACCCAGACATTATTCACAGGAAGCCACTTGACTATGGGATCTTATTTTTTTGATTACCCATCATTTATGGCTATAGGTGAGGGTAAAAATGTAGATTGATCCTCTCTCCTCACGATGATAGAGTGGAATAGCATCTGCAAATTCAGCATCAATCCAGCTGCCAATCTCTCACTCAACTCTCCCATAACTCAAACACAGTTTTCAGACATATCTGAAAGCCTCCACTTGGGGCAGTGACCTCTCCCCAGCATGGAGTTGGCAATCCAAACCTTTCCAGCCAAGAACCAGGCCTCAGACTCAAAGGTGCTTATTGTCACCCCAATACAAATAATAATATAATTCTTTGATTACTGACTGTTAGATGGCTCTAACAGCGACTGTACTCTACCAATGACCAATTATCAAATGACAAATGACAAATTATCACTGCAAGAATATTTGAAAATGGCTGAAGAGGTCAAATACTGGCTGCACAATAACCTGCATAGCTACAGAGGCCAAGGCAGAACATGGAAACAACAGCAAATCTGTTTATAAGGATTCTGCCCAAAGTTAGCCTTACAGTTTCAATGTTAGCTGATTTCCTGACTAACCGCTATCTCATGGTCGGCAAGTTTAACAAGTGCCATATGACCTTTGTAAATAAGAGCATGTGCAGGTGTAACTCAATAAATACTCAACTCATCTAAATAGTTGAGGTTCTCATTTCTGAGCATGTAGTTTAATAGCAGATCACGGCTAGAAAGGACATGCAAACATTACATAATGTCATATTTTCCTACACTTAAAAAATGTCTCTTACTGGCACTTTCAAAACATAAGTGATAAATATTTTTTTATTGAATGAAGATCACTTTTTGGTGTCCACCTCAGGGCATTCACACTAATTTGGACGTACCTTCAGTTGTTCTGGACCAGGACATGTCTTTACTATCATTCACATGTTCTCAATATCAGTCGTTGTGATTTAGACAGAGTGGAAATTTCTCTGGCTTTTTTAGTTTGGTGGTCAGGTTTTAGGATCTGTGAGCAATCATAATGTACAGACTCTTAACAAAAAGACAAGCCAATTACCTTCCTCAACAATGCCTGTCATTTGTTCTACAAAGAATCAGGCTCTAAAGCAGACACCCCTCCACTTATGTCTGACCTGTGGGGTTCAACATAAGGCAAGATCACCACTGTACACTCTTTGATGTGGTATCATGTGGAATGAAGGGGGGAAAACGCTTTGAACTTCTTCTATCATCATATACCCCTCTTTACTGATCTGGCCAATGTGTTTGCACTCACAATGGGGGTATGTTTTCTGTTATTATGCATTGCATCAGCTCCGGATGACCCTTCAACAAGCTTTTCTTTTTGTGATAAAACTAACATCTAAAAAAGCTGAGGATGAATAAACGATGAGGACAATGCAATGCCAGAATGTACTAAAGACAGAGACTATTGTGGTGGGCCTGTATTAAAACCAGAGCCCACAGCCCTGCAATCATCTCTTCCCCTGACTTCAAACTATTGTATGCCCTGAAAAAATCGGAAATACAATGGACATGTCTCTTTCTGAGTAATAATATTTTTCCGTTGCAGGAGATTCGATGGTCCACCTAGATTTTATTATTGGGTTATCAAGTTGTGGTTTCTGTGTGAAAGAGAGGAAGAAAACTACTGGAAAAAATGAAAACAACACAGTCAAGCATTGTCCTGCACCACACAGGACCTCTGCTGACGGTACTTTTAAAAATTGTAAACAACATTTTTCACTCACCAACTTCAACTAGGGACTGTCCTCAGCATTGTTCTGCCTCCACGAAGACAAGCTCATTTTTGATTTTTATTTATATCGAATGAACATATGGAGCAAGTATGTGCCTTCTCCGCTTGCTAACCTTAGCCTTAGGAAACTGTTATTTGTCAGTGCTGTAAAGCAGATTGCTGCCCAGTGGTTTCAATTTACATCAAAGAGCTTTTCACAGGCAGTAATAGTTATATCAAAACCTGAAATGTATTATTTAGGTTATGTGCTGGATTCCTACAAATGATTATATCCTTGTTCTGAGTAGGGC